AGGAACAAGAAAAAAAAAGGTGAGAGTACTGCAATGTCTGCAAAAGAAGATTGCATTCATCCTGACTTGAATTACAGTGACCCAGCTAAGTGGCTAACTATTGCAGTGATAATTTAGCAGCAGCTTATAATACAACATGGACCACAGCAGGTTACATCACATGATTTCCTCAAAGACCCCAAACGCAGAATATTTTCTCCTATATACTAGCAAATGCTAATCTCGTAGTATATAGAAGTACATAGTATACAGGAGTGGGCCATCAATCGCTGAAAGATTGAACTTTTGTGGTTTTTTTGCTGTAAGTTGTACAGCAAAAAGAATGGTGCATCAACCCTACAAGGAATAGGTTCAAAAGACTCAAACAATTCTGTTTTCACATGAGAGGAATACTGACCATTTAGAAAACTATCAGGCCTGGAGTGAACTTAAATGCTAAAGGAAACTACAGTTGCCTTTTTGACAGAATCTCTTAATAGATAGCTGGAGTGAATGGAATTGCGTGACCAGGTGGAGCCCAGCCCCCCTGGCCCCCAGGGACCACCAGAAAGGAATAATGACTCGGGACAACATGTTATGGAATTAAAATTTTGGCAACAACTTTATTAAACTTTCAAATGTAGGAAGACCTTGGCTTAGGCATTGGGCATGTATCCCTCCCAGCCCCCCAGCTGGGGGAACTGGGGCTCCTCAGGGTGAATGGGATACGGGGATGCCCTGCAAGATGCATGTGTATGCAGGCAGCCCACCTTTAGCCAGTGACACCCATTTAGAACCCCTTTAAAAGGGGACCCTGGAATCACCACCACGGGGGTGTGTGTGAGTCACCACTTCATGTCCCCCCCCTCCATTTTAGGGAAGAAAAGACTAAACGATTCCACCCAAGGCCTTAAACTGCCAAAGTTGTGACGAATTGCTATGAGGAAGACAAAACCTGCCAATGCAGGAAAAAAATTTCCCGACTCTTCAACAGCAACCAGTCAAAAGACTGTAGCAGCGCCCTCTAAACAGAAATAAAAAGGTTAACCTACAAAAAGAACATTAAACTAAGGGAGGGTTGGGTGGGTGAAGCTCCTGAGCCAACTGCCTGGCTGCTGCTGGCTCTGCCTCCTCCAGCAGTGCTAAATGACTAACTGAGGTTTGGCGGGAACCTCCAAAGAGTAGTACTGAGAGGCAGGCCGCCCAATCAGCTGGTAGGTCCCCAGAAGTCCGAGGCACCATGCGCGATCCCGCAAAGGGCGCCCACAGTGTAAGGTGTGAGCGCTCATTACTAACTGGGAATCTTCATGGTCAAGGTTATGATTATGAGAGTAACATGAACAGCAAAGAAAATGGTGTAGAAAAGAGAGTCTCAGACATAAACCCATGTGTGCCTTTCTGTACCCTGCAATGCACACACTTGAAACTTGGTAGTCAAGTGTGTTGCTAAATGTTGTCTGGAAGCAACTAGTTTCTTCATTTTAGTTCAACAGATCTATAATAATTTATCTGCATTGACAGTGTTGGCAAATTCTAACTAGCCATGTAGCAGACTTGGGCATAACTGTTAAGACATAGAGCAAAACCACTGAGATATCATCTTGGTAGTTTATGATGCCTTAATAAGAGATATTTGATAACACAAACCTAAAAGGTTTATTTGGAAATACTTCCCAAATTGAAGCTAAGGCCCTTGCTTATGCAATTTCTAAGTTCAAGTTTGTGGTATCCCTCCTTACATGGTACACAACCTTTTTGAAGTCAATCTTGCAAGCAAGCTACTACAAAATAAGGGAGGTGATTTACATTCAGCTACAAGCCAATTGTAAGTGACCAAGAATTGGTACTTTGTGAGTTTCAGGTGAGATGAGGTTTGTCAACAAGTTTTGATGGATACGACTGAGATTGCAAAGGAGCCAGAAATAGTACCAAACTTTGAGACACAACAAGTTAGAAAAAGGAGAAAGGAATAGCAGTTTGAGGCCCAAGAAGGGGTGCTCCAAGAGCCAAAGCAGAAATTTCAAATAGGTTTCTACTATGCTGTCTTAGACACAGCCAAATAATCTGTTGAGGAGAGATTCTAACAGCTGCAGCAATATAATTCCCTATTTGGCTTCCTGTATGATATATACAATATCAACAAGAAATCTACTGAAGATGTACTTAAGGCTTGCAAGAATTTGGAAAAACAGTTGATGCACAATGGCAACAAACATAATTGATACTGAAGATCTGTTCTGTGAACTTACAGCAATAGCTCGAAGACTTCCAAAGTCTATGCTGCTTCAAGGAGTACTTCTCTTCATACTACAACAAAAAACTCCTGGATAATGTGCCTAATGTTTCTGTTGCTCTAAGGATCCTTCTCACACTTTCAGTGTCAGTGGCAAGTGGTGAGCACAGTTTCTCAAAGCGCAAACTTATGAAAACACACATATGCTCAACAATGTTGGCTTGGCAACTATATCAGTTGAGCATGCCCAAGCATTGGCACTTGACCTAAAGGAAATGATGACAACATTTGCAAAGAAAAAGGCATGCAAAGTGAGATTTTGATATGACTGAAGTTGAAAGTTAAATTCTAACAGATTATTCCAAAAGGTTTGTGTGCTAAAACATTTTCTTTTGTACGTAAGAAATATAATCAAAGATTGCTTTATCATTTATTCTTGCAATTTAAAATAAATTCAGCAGTTTCAAGTGTTCTGATTTTCATTTTTTCTACAAGTCATATGTTTTGAAAATTGAAGTTAAACATTTGTGTGTTGTGATGGTGTGTGCAGGTAGTTTGCCTTGCCTAGGGTGCAAAACAGCCTGGCATTGACAATGCATGGGTATGCTGCCAATGGCAGAGGCAGCACTTGGTTCTATGACTTTTAGAAATGGCTTTTGTATGCTGACTTATGCTTACTGTGGCTGTCAGTGTGTACATTGCCTGTCTTGTTTGCCGTCCTTCAACTGGTATGGAAAATTTCTGTACGTTTCCCATAAGCTGATGGCTGTTTCCCATAAGTTCATGTACTGATACATGAGCTAAGTGCTTTTTTTTGGGGGGGGGGAGGGAGGTGTCAGTACTTACCATGAAGTTGGTACAGTAAGTGCCATACCTTTAACATTTGGGGTGCCGGTATTGCATACCCTTGAGTACCCCCTCAAAAAAAAAAGCACTTCATGAGCCCATCATACCAAGTGCCTCCAAATGCTGTGATGACTGATGCTATACACCATGGCTGCAGCAGGGACACATTTAATATATTGCATGGATAGAGATGCTTGCTGTAGGAACGAGCTCTGTTTAGATTTTTCGCTGCAAACATCAAAATGTCTATAGCCAGTCCTGACTGTTTGCATATTGGCACTCCCATGTCACAATTCACTGGGATGGGCTGATGTTTGCTTGCACCAGCCCTAACTCAGCTTGCTTGACATCTTCTCAGGTGGCTGTCCCTTGATATGTTGTTGGCTGTGTCATGATTCTGGGCCTTTTGCTGTGAAGCATGCTGAAGGCAGAGAAATTTATTTCCCTTCTGGGGTAGAATATGTGATGGTAAGAGAGCTACAGAGGTGACAAACTGCCCTCTGGAGGGAACTGAGCCAGGGATCAGCCAGCCAGCATAAAAAAAAAGAGACCAAAAAGAAGAAGGCTGTTTTGTGTTAATGCAACTTTAAGCAATGAAGTGCTTCAGGACAGAACGTGCAATTTGTATCTTGTTAGCAGTGAAATCATTATGTGTGAATTAGATCAGCAGACATCCTTTATTCTCGACTGCTGCCCAGAAGGAGCTGCTGGGGTAACGCAGGAGTAGCCAACATGGTGCCTTCCAGATACCGTGAACTACAACTCTCACCATACCTGACTCTTGGTCACCTGGATGCGCCAAAAGGAGCTAAGGTCCACAATATCTATTGGGCTTACGGCAGGGAGCAGCCAGCATGGCAGCCTCCAGATGTTGTTGGTCACTACAACTCCCATCATCCCTGGTCATGCTGAAGTTGTATAAGCCATTCTGCTACTTCGTTCTCTGCCATATGCGAAGAGCAGAATGGAGATGTTGAATACTGGAAGAACTTTTGGGAAAGGGGAAGAACCCTATATCAGCACATGTTTTCCCTGCAGAACGCGCAAGGCGCAAGGAATAATCCCTGGAGTCTCTAGGTAGGGCTGGAAAGGCCCCGGCTTGAAGTTCTGGAGATCTGCTGCCTGCAAGTGTATGCAAGCTGTGGGGCACCTCAGGCCTAGGGGCCAAATGCAGTTGTCTCCCCCTGTCTGGCCTGGGGGACTGTCTCCAGATCACATCCCTCACACTTTCCTTGAGTGTTTTTGCCTCGCTGGCTTGTGTCCTTGGATTCTGATAACATCATGGTTGAAGTTCAGTCTTTCAAGGGTTAATATAATAGGTTTGCTTTCACTTTAATTAAAATATTCCTTTTAGCCCAGTGAGCCTTTGGTTTACAGATGAGTTGTATTTGAATACATATATGAAGCAGGGGTGGTGTACCTTTTTGAGGTGGTGGGCATATTTGCAAAACTGCAAACCTGTTGTGGACTCCCCTCTCACTATCAAGCGCAGACTGTGACTTATTAAATCAGCTACAATAAAATGCTTCTTTGAAGCCTAATTTCTGTGGAGGAAAGGTGGGTGCGGCGTTGACATCCCCTGATGTAAAGCCTTAGATAAGAATAGGCACCGTTGAGTGATGTTGTTTTTATTATGAAAAAACGAATTCTTGGTAAGCATAGAAGATTTGTGTGTCTGTGTGTTCCTCTGAGTCGTTGTTTTATGTTCATTAAAAGAGGTTTGTAGTAAAACAATCTTTAATTCTCTCATCTTTCTAATTCTTGTTCATTTCTTTTCCTGTGCCAAGGGGGTCAATAGATTTTTATTTGCTATCAACTATAATTTCTTTTAGGGATTTGTGTGTATGAAGGGATTTCTAATTATAACATTGGTGGTTTTGTAATGAGAAATTTTAGCTCTGTAATGAAAAACAAGTATATTGGATGTGATTGAAGTTGGCTTGCATTATGACTAGTTGAAGTTCAGGTTTTCTAAGTGAGCAGCCTTCTTTAACCTGGTGCCCTCCAGATATTTGGACTTTTGCTTGTGTGCGTATTCACATGGGTTGTGTCCAATGTTAATTCGCACAAACAAAACTTTATTGAGGTCCATAGACCCAAAATACACAATACAACAATAGTATATATCAACAGTTATTAAGGTGTAAGATCATCCTTGCTAGCCAAGAGAGGAACTTTAGCCTGTACATACTGATTTCTGATTTTTACTGCCTCCCTCCAGAAGGAATTTTGCTACAGCCCAGTGTAATAGTGTCAATCTTATTCTCAAGGAGAACGTTGACATGAAGTCCAAATGCTAATGATAGGAGGAGTTATTTAAAAATAACCTCATGGAATATTGCAGGCTGGGCCCACAAAATCAGGGATGGGCCCTTCTATGAGTATATAAAGGGTTATGATGTGATAGTGCTGTAAGAAACTTGGCTAACTGACAGCTTGTTAATGTTAATCCCAATGTTAATTCCCTGCAGAGGAGATCCATTGAAATTAATGGACCTTTGTTTGTTATGTCCATTTATTTCAATGGGCCTACTCTAAGGGCCCATCCACACTTCCCTAAGAGCATGGATCCAAGGGGTTTTCTGTTTGTCCCATGCTGTCTAAACATGGCCCCAAATAGTTTTTTGTTTGTCCAACTGCTTTCCCCAGAGAAACCCACTGATTATATTGCTGAATTGGAGCAAACGTCAGACTGAGGAGGGAAATGTTTGACTTTGTTCTGATCCAGCGGTAAACAGTGGGTTTTCTCAAGTGAAAGCAGCAGAGCAAGTAGGAGTGTGGATGAGCCCTGAATAGAACCAACATTGGACAGAACCTCTCTATATATTATATGGAGCCTGTATTATGCTTTAATTATGTGGTGCATGTTCTCTGTGTACCCTTGAACAAGGTATTCACCAGATGGTTTTTGGCATATTGTTTTTAATCCTCTCCACAATTCTTCACCTTTTGGAAGGAGGGATTCCTGTGTTGACAGCTTCTCCCCTTTCTGTCTCTCTCATCAGAGTAAGTAACGTGGAGTAGACAGACTGTTGAAATAAGACTCCTCTACCATATACGACCGTCTCTATTTTTACCAAAGGGAGGGAGCACCAGCCACTCATTGTGAAATGTTGGGAGGAGAAGGTCCAGGGAATTAGTGCTGAGAAGGACTACGGTGCACTGGAACAACATCTGTTTTACAATCTGAAGGTCACAGGTCTAACCCCCCTGCCATCTCCACTGGGTGAGACCCCTCCCTGCAGCTGCAGAGAACTGCTGCCAGTCAGTCTACAAAGCAATGAGCTGATGGGCCAATGGTCTGACTCTGTAAAAGGCAGCTTCCAATGTTGCCAACCCCCATTCTAAACCAGTTCTTCATTGCCATGTGGTCCAGTCCATTTCTACCTTTCTTCCCCATCTCCAATCGTAGATTCTTACTATGCTTTTGAAGTTTCTTACTAAGTTTTTTGGGACGCGGGTGGCGCTATGGGTAAAACCTCAGCGCCTAGGACTTGCCGATCGTCAGGTCGGCAGTTCGAATCCCCACGGCGGGGTGCGCTTCTGTTGCTCGGTCCCAGCGCCTGCCAACCTAGCAGTTCGAAAGCACCCCCGGGTGCAAGTAGATAAATAGGGACCGCTTACTAGCGGGAAGGTAAACGGCGTTTCCATGTGCTGCGCTGGCTCACCAGATGCAGCTTATCACGCTGGCCACGTGACCCGGAAGTGTCTGCGGACAGCGCTGGCCCCCGGCCTCTTAAGTGAGATGGGCGCACAACCCTAGAGTCGGACACGACTGGCCCGTACGGGCAGGGGTACCTTTACCTTTACCTTTACTAAGTTTTTAGAAATGATTTATTAATTTCCTCTGCTCAAGAGCTCTCAGTTGTGAGACCCATTCACATGAGCTCTGGAGGGAGGAAGTTATTCTGTCTAACTAGCTGGCCAGTTTAGTAGCACGAAGGGAGGAACAAGGTGATGGTGGAGCTTCACGTTGCTCCTTGAGATCTTGCAGAAGTGTTTGCCCCAATTGGCTATGTCTCTAAAGTTCTTATACTCCCTGCACAGTCTTTTAGATTGATTGGAGATGTTCCTTTTGAACTGCAAGGACGATGTGGTGAGTAAACCTGACATGTCAGTCACACACACTTCCTGGGTTGTACGGCCTGTCATCATCCTTGGGTCTTATCAGAGTGCCTCTAAGCAAATGGGCACAACTGTCCTAGAATGTGACATTTCTTCCAAGGAATGTTTTCTTACTTACTCTGATATTTTAAGTCCTGTTTATTTAAGATCACTGTCAGAGATGATAACATTCCCTGCAGTGGTCACCTTTCTTTCAAATGCACATACATCTTCTCATTCATCCAAAATAGTAATATGGAATGAGTATATTCAAGGAATCTTCAGACTTGTTTTGCAAAATGATAGGTCCATGGTATTGCAGTGGGCTCAGTGCTGTTCTTTGAAGCTCTTAGCCTAGCGGACTGGGGTCACATCCACACCATACATTTAAATCACTGCTATACTACTTTGGGACGAGGGTGGCGCTGTGGGTAAAACCTCAGTGCCTAGGACTTGCCGATCGTATGGTCGGTGGTTCAAATCCCTGCGGCGGGGTGAGCTCCCGTTGTTCGGTCACAGCTCCTGCCCACCTAGCAGTTCGAAAGCACCCTTAAGTGCAAGTAGATAAATAGGTACCGCTTTATAGCAGGAAGGTAACAGCGTTTCCGTGCGCTGCACTGGTGCTGGATCGCCAGAGCAGCTTCGTCATGCTGGCCATGTGACCCAGAAGTGTCTCCGGACAGCACTGGCTCCCGGCCTCTTAAGCGAGATGAGCACGCAACCCCAGAGTCGGTCATGACTGGCCCGTACGGGCAGGGGTACCTTTACCTTTACCTTATACTACTTTAGCAGCCATGGCTTCCCACAAAGAATCCTTACAGCTGTAGTTTGTTAAAGATGCTGACCCTCACTGACCTACAATTCCCAGTACTCTTAAGAAACTACATTTCCCAGGATTGTCCATGACTGCTAAAGTGCTGCAAGAGTGCTTTAAATGTATGATTTGATTGTGACCTGATCTGCTTTTTGTGTCTGCTTTTATGGATGGCATGATCGGTCAATTCCAGTGCTCCATTTCTCATGTTTCCAGTCTTAAATTAAGTTCTCCATTTTTCTAGAACAAGCAAGCAAGCAAGCAAGCAAGCAAGCAAACAAACAAACCTTAATGAAAATGCACCAGTATTTAGGTGCAATCTCCTAATAAACACATTTTTATGCAGTTTTTGAGTAACAGACGTTTGTTTGCAAGCAATTACCTCTAACATACTGTATTTTTGTACGTGATTTTCATTAGTATAGCCTTTTTCATAACGCCTCCCCAAATAATATATGCATATTTGTAAACATTGGTCAGAGAAGTACATTGCAAAATTCAGAGACATGCAAATTGCAAAGGCTAGCTGTGTTTTGGGTCTCATTGAAAAAGTGTGGGGAAATTGAGAACTGATCACTAATCTGAATTAAAGAACCAGCCAATGAGGCTTTTGAAAGGACTTCAAAATTGCAGGCCTTCTGATTCCTCTCCCCTTGCCAGCTTCCCCACCCCCTGCCCCTCCACCTCCGATCCTTTCTGAAACAAGATATTAAAAATAGCTGGGAATATTAATTTGGCAGATGGTTCCGCTTGGGCTTTGGGCAGGAGGCTGTGAAACTCTGCAGAGCCTCTGACCCTCGTCTCTAGCTCTAGCACACAGAGCTACATCCTGGCTGTCAGCCAGCCAGCCAGCCAGCCAGCATTTTCCTTAGGCTTTCTTGCTCTTGTTTCACTTAGTGAGCCTTGGCAGAATTGTTCAGATCTGAAGGGACCTGGGGTAGGTCATCTGGGCCTATCCTGCATACATCATCATGGAACACTCGGGTTTGCTAAAAAAAGGTTTGCTAATTGTAAGCACTTTGTTTTTGTTTTTTTTAAATGATATTTATTAAGAATTTTAAAATTACAAGAAAAGCAACAAGAAAAAGAAAGAGAAAAAAAACAAAAGAAAAACAAACCACAATCAAGCAATACAAATTAATAAAAATCAAAATCAAAAAGTAACAACAAAACACATAACACAAGACAATCAAAAAGCAAAAATAAACCTCAAAAATTTAAAAACAAATCCAATATTCCAAAATCCTTAACTGTCATTGCCTTATTTCATCGACCTCCTCACTCCTCCCTTTTTTGTATCCTAGTTGTTAATTATCACAGCAAATCCTTTCCATTTTTCATAATATTCTGTCATTAAATTACCTTAATCTGTTTTAACCTTATCTTACTATAAAAGACCCTAAAACTTAAAACTTAGATCTTATTTATACCAGTTTCTCATAACCATAACATATTCTTACATAATTCTTTTAACATTTTTACTAAAGCCAAATAATTTCTTTCCAACATTCTTCTAACATTCATCAATTTTATAAAACAATCCTAATAATTTTTTTTTTAAAAAAACTTTCTTCCAATCTTCATCCAGCATCTCTTCCTCCTGGTCCCGGGTTTTGTCAGTCCTTTCTATCCCATCAATCTAACTCATTAACCTGGTAATCTTATGTCCGAGGCCCTTAAGTCTCTTCCATGTCCCTTCCGCAGCTCTTCTTCATATTTATACCTGTACTTTACTTTGTCTCCTGCTCCTTTCACTCGTGGAAACTCCAACTTGACAGTGTTTTTGACCCTTCTCGACAAATCAGCCCCTTTTCCATAGTCCACACTAAACTCCATGTGGTATTTAAAAACATGTTTCAAAATCCCTCCAGAATTAAGAGCCCCCACAACCCCAAACATCTCACGGCCCATTGCCAGACTTGGAAAGTCAAAACATTCCTGCATGGGGGGGGGGTCTATCCTCCTGTTCCTGCTGGGCCACAGCTCCCTCCATCTCTGGCACCCAAGGTCCAACAACATCCTCTTCCCTCATCTGATCTGTCGGAGCACACTCCTGATTTGATTCCTGGGTGGGTTCTATATAGTTACCTACTACCTGTCCAAAATTTCTGATCGCAACAGTCATCAAGTCCATCTTCTCATGTAACTGTTCCAATAGGCCACTTGTTTTGCAGAAAGCACGCACCAGAGCTTCTGAATACATTGTTATACAAGGTCAGAAGTCTGTTCCCACGATTGTAATCTGTTGCAGCTGCAGAGCTCCCCGATTTCGATTTAGTAACAGTTTCACAGGCTCCCTCTAGGAGAAGAACTTCTATTTGATCTTTTCTTTTAAAAGTAGATCTAGCAACAAAGTTTCCTTTTTCAGATATTTTGTCAATATTTGTTCCTTTAAAATGCGAAGGAGAACGATGGAATCACTATGTTTCTCTTCTTTTAACTGTCTGTCAAAGACGTTTGTCTATGGTCAATGAACTTCCCAAAGAACGTCAGTCCTGACACCCCGCTCCCAGGTCTGAGACGGTGGAAAATTACTTTACTTTACACTCTCTTCTGCAGGTTTAACCAGTCCGGAAAAAAATCCCCCCTCTTCTCCTGCTTCCGAAGGGGGTTCAACGATTTTAAATGATGATAGTTAATCCTTTACAAACGATTTTCTGAACTCTAGTTTGCCATGTCTTTGCTTTAATCTATCTACAAGAAACGGAAGGCTGACTTCCTGTTTAGACCTTCCCGTTTCAGTGCCAAATTGAGAAGAATTTCTTAGTCCAATTTTCCTTTCTACTCGCAGGTCATTATTTAAAGTCCAATTGTTCGAAATTGAGCTACTCACGGGTAATTGTTTTAAAAGCCAAATTGTCCCAGGAAAAAGGCAGTGCTCTCCGGCAACGGCTATGCGGCTTCGCTCCACGGAAGAAGCAGTTGACTCTCAGCACTGCGCCACTTGCCCCTCTTCACTCCGGAGCCCGTAGCTGGGTTCCTTTACGAGTTGGGGGGGCGCAAAAGGTGCCCGCCGAGTTCCATGGTCACAGGCTTCATCCGCCTGTGAATTTTCAAAGGGTCCCCGCTTCGCTGTAGCGGGAAAGACCCGTTTTCCGTGGAGCCAGTCTCTCCGGATCAGAGGGAGTCCGCCATTACCGATGGCGCCACCCCGGAAGTCTCTGCTAATTGTAAGCACTTTGCAAGGGAGGGGATGCTTGTCATATTACTGCAGTAGAACCTAGTGGTTTTTTAGGCTTATTTTCTTAAATTTATATCCAACATTCAGTATCTTTCTTTCAATTACACACACACACACACAAACACACACACACACACACAGAGAGAGAGAGAGAGAGAGAGAGAGAGAGAGAGAGAACTCACAATAGAACAATTAAAACACCTAAAAATAATTCCAGTATCTGTTCTGCATGCAAAAGGCCTCAGGTTGAATTCCTGGAATCTCAAGAAAAAGCTACAAAAGACCCTCCTGTGGCACAAAGGGTCACTGGCTGTTAACCAAAAGGTTGGTTGTTCAAGTCCACCCAAGGATGGCTGTGGGTAGGATTCCTACATTGCAGGGAGTTGGTCTAGTTGACCCTTGGAGGCCCCTCCAATTCAATTCTCCCTGCAGAGCCATAGCTGGGGACTAGCTGGGTTTTTTGCCCTGGGTGAAGCCTCCAGATGGCTCCTAGTCTCTCTGTGTGAGCCTCTGCCAGTTGTGGTGCCTCCAGACTATCTTAAGCTGCAGCAGGAGAGAAGAAAAATCCACTGCTTAGTTCCTCTTTTCACCTTAACTGCAAAGGTTTTTACATTTTTGTTTCCTCTTGTGAGCCTGCCTGCCTTGCTTTGCATGTTCTTTGAACTCTCTCCAGCTTGTCTATCTTCATTAAGATAAGATGCTCAATCCAAACACAAGGAATCAAATGGGGACCCAACTCCTACTGCGTGGAGAGAAGCAATTATCATGCCATTGACAACAGCATCACATTACTGAATTGGCTCTGTTCCTGTAGGATTACCGCTTGCTCAGAATCCACACCACTTCTCAACTCTGCCTTTCCAAAAATGCTCATCCACTGCTTCTCTACCCCTCACCTAGCCCTAATCAACTATCTTGAAAATAGGTATTGCTGAATGTGCTTGGAAGTTGGAAGTTGCAGCTGTTCCATATAACCAGATGCATGGTGAGATTAAACATTCAACTACAACATCTCGTGCATGTTTTTTGTTTTTTTAAAAAAGTAAACAATAGGCATTTTGGAATTTACAGCAGGCAGCTAAGAGACTTCAGAGATGTTGTATACAAGAGCATCCCTAGCTGTGGAATTTTTTTGGGGGGTGAGGGGCATGCCTATTCCTAAATCTTCCCTTTAATCTTCTGGAAAAGAAGATTAAACCATGTAGACTCCTTCCTCTGTCCTACAGATTCTCATTTTATTGATCTCAAGCCACTGCTCAAATTCATGAAGGTCATAAATTAGTTTATCCTTATTTGGCACAAATTGTTATCATCAGGCACACCAGCTGGGGGGGGGGCAGGGCGAGGTCCTCTGAAGTTCTTAAGGAGGATGCCAAGCCCCCTCAATATTGACCAGTTGATGTGGCATGCCATCGCAGTGTGTTGTGTGATGTGGCACATGACATCAGACGTCGGCCCCCTCAAAAGCGGGGGCAAGCGAGAGCTACTGGTTGTCACTCTCCTATCACATAGCCTACAGATTTGAAAAATGAGCTCTCTGTCTCTTGCCCCAACATCCTTCAGCTAGTGAACGGGATTATTGGATGCCATATATTTTCTTGGTGGTCCTCGCTGAGGTCCAGCAAACAATGATAGTTCCCTTACACTGAGTCAGTCATATATTTAATGAATCTTTTTGGTGTGGAAAAACCATTGCAGGCAGAGGATGCACTTGCGGCCACTTCACAAGATAGCATGTCTCTTCCATTAATTAACCAGTGCATTGCAATGCAGCTTGCTTCTTTTAAGACTGGACAGAGCTATACCTGAAAGTAGTTCCCATATTTGCAGGGTGAACTAAAGGTAAATTAAGTTGGTTTGTGTGTGAAACTTTGAACAATTGGTAGTTTATCTTCACACTCACCCTTGCACCTCCCAAAGCAGGAGACTCTTAACTTTCTTGGGGGGGGGGGGAGTTGGACGGTGCAGTCGGGCCATGATTGGTGTTATGTGCTCAGACCATCTTGGTCCAACCTCGCCACTGAATTCTGTATGAGCTACATTTTATGAACCATCTTCAAAGGCAGCCCTGTGCATAACATATTGCAGTAATCCAATCGAGAGGTTACTGGAGCATAAGCAACATAAGTTAGACTATCCCTGTCCAGATGGTGGTATAGCTGGGTCACCATCTAAAGCATATGGAAAGTCTTCTGTGCTCCTGAGGCCATATGAATTTCAAGCAACACTGATGGCTCCAGAAGTGCCCACAAGCTATGTCCCTTCATAGGGAGTGTAACTTCATCAAGAACAGGCAACCTCCCATGTATCAGGTCTAGAGAACTACCCACTGACAGTGCCTCAGTCTTATCAGGATTGAGCTTCAGTTTGTTGGCTCTTATCCAGCCTATCACCGAGGCAAGACAATGGTCGAACACATTCACTGCCATACCTGCAGATGCAAAGAAGAAGCAGAGCTCTGTGTCATCACCATGTTGCTGATAACGTACGCCAAAACTCCAGGTGACCCCACTCAGTGGTTCTATGTAGATGTTAAACAGCATAGGGGATAAAAATGAACCCCCATGGAACCCCACTCTGAAGGCTCCATGGGGCTGAACAACACCACCCTCTGAATTTGACCCATCCCAGTAGTACTGGAACCACTGCAAAGGAGTGCCACCTACTCCCAACTCAGACATGCCATGGTCAATGGTATTGAAAGTCACTAAGAGACCAAGGAGAATTAACAGGGGCACACTCCCCCTGTTTCTCTCCCTAAGCTGACTTTAACGTGTAGGCCAGGCCAATTGAATTTCTACCTATGGCAACAAAAACTGATTGTTTTTGTTATCTGCATTTGATTTTTCTGTGCGTTTTCCCCTGTGGCTTAGGATGCAGCTCATG